CACACGTCTCGTGGCCCCACAGGGAGCATGCGCTCGCCGCGCCCATATCGGCACACCCCTCACACGTTTCGTGGTCCCATCGGGAGCTCCACCGAAGGCTCCAGTGGCTGCGTTCGCATGCGCCCGCCGCACCAGTTTCGGCGCACCCCCCCCACATGTTTTGTGGCCTCACAGTGAGCTCCACCGAAAGCTCCGATGGGGCTACGCTCGCATGCGCCCGCCACATACATTTCGGCACACCTTCACACAGTTCGTGGCCCCATAGAGGGCTTCACCGAAGGCCCCAATGACTGCGTTCACATGCGCCCGCCGCATCCATTCCGGCACACCCCTCACAAGTTTCGTGGCCCCATAGCGAGCTCCACCGAAGGTCCCAGTGGCTGCGTTCGTGTGCCCCCGCCGCACCCGTTTTGGCATAAGCCTCACTCGTTTCGTGGCCTGATAGGGAGCCCTACCGAAGACGATACTACAACTGCGTCACTCCTAATCACATATGGTTGGATCCTTCTCCAGGCAATTTCTCAATGTTTTTCAATGTCCACTACCCTTGCGGCCTTCGAAGGGCACAACAAGAGCTAAGAGCCCCAAGAGGGGCCCCAACGGGCCCAAAAAGAGCCCCAAGGTGGCCCAAGAAGGCCTTCGGAGAGACCCAAAACGGCCTGAGAGTGTCCCCAGACAGCCAAGAAGGCCCAAGAGGGCCTCAAGATGGCCCCAAACGGACCCCCAAGCGCCCGACAAGTGCCCCGAACAGCCCCAACTGAGCCCCCTGAAAGCTCCTCAAGAAGACGAGACGGGAAATGTCACACGTGATGGCCTTCTGGGGCGGTGACCGAAAAATGGCCACGCAAATTCCTCGCTTGCACGGTGGCGGATTTGCCGCAGGCATCCGGCTAGAGACACCAGGGTACTCCTGTATCTTGACGCTGCCGTCGGGCGGGATGCCCATGCGCATGCACCTCACGGCCGGCTTCGCCGCCCCGGGCGGGGTGCCCATTGCCCACAGCGCCGCCATGGCCGCGGCAGCCCGAATCAATCCCTTCTGCGGAGCCGCCAGCTTGGGCCAGAATCCCCACGGATGCTTTGCGTATGATGCCGATGGCCCTATCCAGCACGGAGGCCGAACAGGTGTGCGTGTGTTGTGCTGTCTTGATCCGAGCCCAGGGAAGCGAACACTTATGGGCCTCGCCTGGGTCCCACTCCCCAGCAGCATCTGGCAGGATTTGGTGCTCCGCCCTTGGCGCCCCTGGGCCCGCTCCTGGGCAAGGCTCGGGCAGCCCAAGAGAGCACCCACAGGCATCCAGTCACATACACATAGCCATGAACCTGCATAATATGGGTGCGCGTGCATATGTACACACCAAACATACGCAGACGAAACGCACCCGCAACACATTCTGGGCGTTGGGCCGAGGCAGCAAGACGTGATGGACCATTCCAAATCGAATTCCCACTTCCGCTCACTGGCATTTGTTTCTTTGATTTCGGTATCCAAAGGCCGCTTGGGGCCCTTCTGCTCTCAAACATGGATGCAGGACGGAAAATCCCCCCCTGGGGGTGGAAGGGTGAACTCTGGGCCCCGCGGGCTGAATAAATAAAACGCTGTCTGATTTTTACGGGTGGTGTTGCAACTCACCTCGCGCTTCTGACATTTTTCCGGCTTTGCTAGCCGCTTCGCGGCTATGGTACTTCGTCAACGTTGGCGGAGGCAGAAGGGGTGGAGTGCCCAGGGGCTGGAATTACACGCATTCGCCAGGAAGCCTCGTCGAACACGGCCTGTCCATGGCGGCGCACCCATGACCTGGATCGTGAGTTCAGGGCGTCTTGGGTGCCTGTCGGGGCCTCGCGGCGTGTTTCTCAGGGGCCCCTTGAAGCCCTGTGATGGATCGTGAATTGGGGGCCTCTTGAGGCTTCTTTGGGCACGCCGTGCAGGACGTGGACGTGAGACCGCCCATACGCTTCTGGGGGCGAATCATTTGAGGGGCCTCTCGGGGCCTCTTGAGGGGCTCTTGGGGAATCCGGGGCACGTTCTCGAGGTCTCTCAGGAGCCTCTGGGGGCCTCTTGGCAGCGTCCGCTTCCGGGAGGAGACGGGGGCATGTTGAGAGCCGCATCCCTCAAGATTATGCCCCACGACCCGTTGCGGCACCCTGTTGGGCTTCCCTTTGACCGTCTTGGGGCTCTTTTGGGTCGTGTTTGGGGCCTCGGAGGCGGTAGCCTGGGGCGCCTCTTGGACCGTCTGAGATGCTGTCAACAACCAGAGAAGCGAATTTGCTGAAAATATGCGCTTCGAAAAAACTGAATGATTCTTGCCTCCTGAGGCCCTTTTGGGAGGCCTATTGGAGCCCTCTCGGGGTGTCTTGGGGGCCTCTTGGCCCTTGTTGACACCACCTCAGGGCGTCTCGGAACGCTCTCGGAGCAATTTGGGCGGTCTTGAGCCGGTCCTGGCGGCCTCTGGAGCCGCCCGGGGGCCCTCAAAGCCCGCATAAGCCGCCCGGGGCCCCATACCAGCCTGGGGCCGTGGTCCGCCGCCCCCCCCCTGGCCTACTCCGATGTATGTATGTCTGTATGTCTGCATGTCTGTGTATCTATCTGTCTGTCTGTCTATCTGTCTGTCTGTCTGTCTGTCTGTCTGTCTGTCTGTCTCTGTATGTACAGGTATACCCATTGACATATACACATGTGTACGTGTGTATATATATATATATAGATACACATGTTACGGACAGAAATGCCTATCGCAACCTTGCCCCGGCACACCCTCCCTGCCAACCCATCCATATTTGGATGAGATGGGTGGAAACATGAAGGAGGACGGCTGTCTAAGCAGACCAGGTTTCGCACGACTCAGAGAGGAAGCTGACAGGAACCCCCCTTCGAATGTTGAGGCAGGTGGCGATTAACTGGGGTCTGGGGTTGCAGCAAAACCAACTGGTTTCAACGACAGGCACGTATGTTCCAATGATGTAAGAACAGTGCGTAAGCCCCAGCAGTTGCGAGTAAGGGTTAGAGGACGCTGCTCGTTGGTGGAGGCCTGCGGATCGCGGGGCGTGGGGCGACGGCGACAACACACATTAGCTAACAAAGCCGCATGCCGTCGCCGACGTTTTCATACACTTTCTGTTCAGCAATCAAACTATCCAGATGGGACTGCATGGGAATATGATGCAGGGGCGGGCCCGAATACGCTACTAAGAGGCAATCAAGGAGCCCCCCCGCGAGGACCTGGGAGGCAAATCATGACCCTGCGACGTACCCAACCCATCGGCACCAAGGGATGATAGAAGATGTGCCAACAATCGTGTGACAGCAACACTGCAAGATACGGTCCACGGCGGATACTCATATCGTGCGAAGTGTGCGCGGCCGACTCGCAGAACAGCGGTCCTGTTTGGATCTGCGTGGGGCCCCACTGTGCTGCCCAGCCCAGCAGCCCTCGAAAATCACGACACTTTCGCACGTTGCAGCCCCCCGAAGATGGCGAGGTACCGTTTGGGTCTGCGTGCGGCCCCACTGTGCGGGCTCCCCCGGCAGCTCTCGAACGCGGCGACAATTTCACACTTCGCAGCACCCCCGACCAGCGACGGCGAGGTCCCGCTTGGATCTGCGTGGGGCCCCGCTGTGCTGGCTCCCCCAGCAACTCTCGGGCGTGGGCGTGGCAACAATTTCACACTTCGCGGTCGCCCCCAAGGATGGCGAGGTTCCGTTTGGATCTGCGTGGGACCCCACTGCGCGGGCTTCCCCAGCAGCTCCTGAAAATAGCGACACATGGCAAAATACCGTTTGGATCTGCGTGTGGCCCCACTGTGCTGGCTCCCCCAGCAGCCCTCGAACATGGCAACAATTTGACACTGCGCACCCACACAAGGATGGCGAGGTCCCGTTTGGATCTGCGTGTGGCCCCTCTGTGCTGGCTCCCCAAGCAGCCCTCGACAGTGGCGACAGTTTCACACTTCGCAGCCCCTCAGGGATGTTGAGGTCCCGTTGGGATCCGCGTGGGGCCCCACTGTGCGGGCTTCCCCAGCAACCTTCGACAGTGGCCACAATTTCACACTTCGCACCCCCCCAGGGATGGTGAGGTCCCGTTTGGGTCCGCGTGGGGCCCCACTGTGCGGGCTTCCCCAGCCGCCCTCGACAGTAGCGACAATTTCACACTTCGCACCCCCCCAGGGATGGTGAGGTCCCGTTTGGGTCCGCGTGGGGCCCCACTGTGCGGGCTTCCCCAGCAGCCCTCGACAGTGGCGGCAGTTTCACACTTCGCAGCCCCCCAGGGATGGTTTGGGTCCGCGTGGGGCCCCAATGTGCTGCCTTCCCCAGCAGCCCTCGACAGAGGCGACAGTTTCAAACTTCGCAGCCCCCCAGGGATGGCGAGGTCCCGTTTGGATCTGCGTGGGGCCCCAGTGCGGGCTCCCCAACAGCCCTCGAAAGTGGCGACAGTTTCACACTTCGCAGCCCCCAAGAGGGATGCGAGAGGAGAGAGCCGATAGGCGAGCGGGGAGGGGCGATGATGATGATGATGATGATGATGATGATGATGATGATGATGATGATGATGATGATGATGATGATGATGATGATGATGATGATGATGGGGATGAGGAGGAGGGGGAGGAGGAGGAGGAGGAGGATGAGGAGGAGGAGGAGGAAGAGGAGACCCAACTGCTCTATTCAAAACGAGAACCCAACCAAGGGAGGGTTGGGAACTACAGAACGCATGAGGCGCCTGAGTGCGTTCTGCCTCCAAGGCCTTCCAGCCTATGTAAGCTTCACGATGACGACGGCGACGGCTCCCTAAAAAATCGATTCCCGCGCCTCTGCTGCGATGCGTCCTGTCAGAATTTTTGAAAAAGGAATCGAGCCGTGGCAGTCAGGAACCCTCTGGATACCCCCCAAGAATAAACAACAACGGATGACGACGACGAAGGCGACGCACACGCTGACGCCGACGCCGCCAACAACGACGAGGAAGAAGGCGGCGGCGACAGCGAATCAGGCGGGCTGGCTCCCTGCGGTTGCCTTTGCCCTTGCCGCCGCCCTTTTCCTTGCGCGGCTCGGGGCAGTCCCGCGAGCTGTGGCCCTGAGCGAGGGATGAGTGGGGCGGAGGGGGAGCCCCGCGTCCTCCTCCTCCTCCTGCTCCTCCTCCTCGTGTTCCCTGCTCCTCCTTCTCCTCCACGTCCCTCCTCTTGCTCATCCTCCCTCCAAAAGCATGCCCAAACATGCGTTTGCTTCTGGGTTGTTTTAAAACGCCCCGCCCCCAGGCAAGCCACGCCTCCAAACCAACCCCGGAACGCCTGAAACAAACTCCAAAGTGCCTCGAACAGACCCCGACAAGGCTTGCAACAGACCCCAAAGTGCCTTAAGACCCTTCTACGTCTGATCAAAGCAAGTTGGGGTCTGTTCAGCACGTTCTGGGACTGTTTCAGGGCCCTGGCCTGCCAGGGGGCGGGACGCCTTCAAACAATTCCAGAAAAGGGGGCCTTAACAAACATAAAAAAGGGCTTCTGGGCACGTGTGCCTGCTTACGGCACTGGTGGGTCAGCTTGAAGCACTTTGCGACTGTTGTAAAGCCCCCCCGCCCCATTCTTACAACGAATCCGAAACAACAACTTCCAAACGATACATAAGCGGCTTCAACAATGCTCTCCGCTGGCTCCCACCCGAGCCCCTCGAGCCCCGCGCGGTGACGGGCCGCCGGGGGGCGGGGCGCCGCCGCATTTGTGGCCGGCATTGTTTAGAGCGCTCTTTAATTGTTATACTGCTTGTTTGTTTGTTGTAAGGTGCCAGCACTTTTCCTCTTATGGATGCGAAACTTCAAAGTATGTCCCGCGTGGACTGTTTCAAAACATGTTGTGTTCGCGTGTCCCGCACGACGGCCTCCTTTCGAAATGAAGTCCCGCTCTATACGCGCGCCAAGTGAGGATGCCGCGGGGATGGTTTCAGCGAGCCGCCCCGTAAAACAATCTTAGCGTGGGATTGTCGGGGGGATGTTAAGCGCGCCCACCCCGGTCCCTGCGTCATGGGAGGGTTCGCGCCTTCCCCCAGTGTCGGCGTTTTATCGCCCACTGGAATCGAACCCCCCCTGTGTCGGCGGGGTCGGCGAAACACCGCGCGAGGTCGAAGGCGAGGCTTCGCCCGCGCACCCCCCCGCGGAAATCCACCAGCATCGCGCTCGGTTGTATCGCAGATTTTGCACGGGGTTCAGGGGTGACTCGGCGTTCGCGCGCTCGTGGTATGACATAGAGAATAAGAGCCGATCGACCCAGCGATCCGTTTCTGCAAGCCCACCCCGCGAGTGCGCGAGTGTCCAGAGCGCGCCAAGGGGCGCCTGCTGTGCCTGCCCCGCGATGGGGGGGCGAACAGGCTACGCCTGGCCACGGTCGGCGCTGACGTGCAAAGAGGCGCCCGACTGCGCGCCCTTGCGTCGACGGGGCGCATCGATGGCGTTTGGGGCGGCGGCCAAGGGGCCGTTCCGAAACCAGCCCGGAATCCTTCACCTAAGCAGCGCGCCCCCTATGCACTGGCGGCAAGCGAGAAATTGCCCTCGTGAGCGCGCTCCTGTCGCCTCCGCGCCGCGCGCCCGTCCGTCGACGCATCCCTGAGATCGCCTAGGCTCCGACGCCCGCGCCATCTGCGCGCGGGGCGCAGCGCGTGGCCTTTCGCCATCGATCTGTTATACAGGTTGCTGTTGTTTCGCGAAAGAACGAGAGCGCGACATGGGCGTCGATTTCGCACGTTGCCCCCGATGTTTTCCCACCGGACAGATAAAACTATGATGCCGGAGAAAAAACCCAATCAGGGCTGTAGGGCTAGGGGGCTATTATTGGGCTATTGAGCTATAGAGCTATAGGGCTGTAGAGTTGTAGGGCTATAGGGCTATTGAGCTATAAGGCTATAGAACTATAGGGCTTAGGGCTATAGGGCACCCCCGGGCACCCGGGCACCCGGGCGCGCCGCGAAAATCGGCGACGAGCCTAACCTAACCATATAGATCCGCTAGGACCCCTACAAGGGCAAGCTCTGATTGGGGAATTTGGCGGGGGCTGGGTTCTCATGGCGATTTCTCCTCCATTGCTTCAAGGATTTGCTTGGGGAGCTCCCATGGGGGCGTCGCCGATGAGGTGGGCCGTCTATCCCGCGTTGGGTGCTCAGCGGAGCAGGCGCAGCGCGGGCCCGGCGATTTCTCGCCCCCCGAGCAGCCGCTTGCGAAACTGGACTCGCGCAATCCTCTCACGTTCCTTGCGTTCTCCCTCTTAAACAAAAGATCAGGCGCAATTTCGATCTGCAGCTGCGCGAATCGGACAGGGCCGCCGTGGCCATGGCTTCTCGACGAGGGCGGAAATCGCAAATGCTTCTTGGGGCCGCAAGGATGCCGCGTCGGGATCGCTCGCCGCGGCGGCGACTGCTCCTGCGGCCCCTCTTTTCCATGCTGCGGGGGTCGCGGCGTCCCTGATGTCCGGCAAGGTCCATTGGGGGCCTTCGTCTTTCTTCGCGGTCTTCCAGTCCCCCTCTAAAGAACAGCAGGTCCTGCGCCCTTGCCTCCCGGCGGCCCCGCGTTGTTCCCGGGGGCCGCCATGTGGCCGCGCCCACCAAGAGCCACCTCCGTTCTTCAAGGCTGCGCTGCGAGGGCCTAGAGGTCGCCGTCGCCAGAGGCCGGGTCACCCCCGCCCCCTTCTGCCCCTCGACCGGGGCCGCGGCCGTCTCCAAGGCCGTCGCGCCCGGGGCCGGCTCGCGGATGCTCGTCGTCTCCCAATGGCGCCCGGTCTCCTGGATATTTCAAGCCATTATGATCATTTCCGAATGCCTGATCAATGGGGTCGCCTCAGCCGCTTCCCACGACGTGCAGCAGCGGCAGCGGCCCTTCTCCGGGTCGCCCAGTCTGTTCTTTCACAAGCCTGATTTCGGCGGATCCCCCCTGCCTTCTCCTTGGCTTTGGCACCCGCATCCGCGATCAGGCGTGTCTGGACCTCAGAATTGGCGCTCATTTCGCAGTTTAGCGCGCCGCGGCGATTCGACTCGTTCTTCGTGGTTCTCGCGAGGCGTCGCCTGCCTTTCTGCTTGGGGGCGAACCGAAAGTGCGTTCTGCCGTCTGCGAATTGCCTCTTCTTCTTATGGTTAATATCCTCAATTTCTTCTGATTCTTTTCTGATTATTCTTCGCCGGCCTCTCCGAGCGCTTTCTCGGCGGCCAGTGCCTGTTTCTAGCTGCGCCTCGGACGTCGGGGGGCCGCTGCAGCGTAGTGCTCTCTGCAGCAGGGGTCCTGAAATTCGACGCGATCGGCGTATCGCAGCATGCTGCGCGTGCAACGTCCAATTTTCTGCCCACCGCCTGCCCCCGATGCGACGCCGCCGCCAGCAGTGGCGGTCGCCGCAGTCGGTCTCAGGGCGAGGGCATAGCCGTCGCCGATGCCTGCGTGGCGACTGCCCTGCTCTCAGCTCGAAACAGACTGGCCCCCGACGCTTGCGCTGTGCCCTGCTCTGACCTTGCGCGTTCATCGTTCTCCGATTTCAGCGCCATCCCGTCAGCCTTCTTAGACCCCAGGCAGCGTTCCAACAATAACTCCCATCTCGGCCAGCTCGCGTCTCTGCCCTCGCGTCATCTCGACTCCTCATAGTGGCCTTGCTCGGCGACGCGAGCTCTCGCTTCGGCCGCCCGCGCATTCAGCGCCATCTGTTTCTCCTCGGCTTCTTCGGCCGCGAGGAGTCTCTCCAGCTCCATGGCTGCCAATTCCATATGGTGGGTCCTTGCTCTTCTTGTTTCCGACCAACAGCGACCTGGTGCAAGTGTTGCTGGGGCATCTCCTCCATTCGCTGCATCATGAAATGTGCCCGTTGCTGCTGCGCAGTCTCCCTCTCGGCCTGCCTGTGTCCGAAGCGACTGCGTTGTCCTTGCAGGAGACGCTCGGCGCAGATAAGTTTCGCGCTGCTATGCTCGCAGACCTGCGAGCACGCCTGACAGGCTGGTCTCTGGCGTCGGCCCGAGCTTCCTGGACGGCGATTCTCCGCGTTCGCCGCGCGCCTTGGGGTCGGCGCCCAGCGCCGCTGGATCATGGAGACCACGCTCATGGACGAGATCACGGATCGAGCTGTGGACTCCCGTCTTCTGTCCCTTGCCGTGCTGAAGTCATGCCGATCACTCCTAAAGCTGTCTTTGTCGGAGATCACTTGGGGCGGAGTAGATGTATGGTTCCCAACTCTCCATTCCAATGTCGGGGCCCAGGGGGCCCTAGGAAGTCGTGGGGATCGTCCATAACACTTCGTGATGCAATCCGATCGTACTAGTTGGCGGAAGCGAAAGCCCAATGGCAAAGCCACTGGCGCCAACGTTTGCCCCAAATTGTCGATCATCGATCCAGCTGCACGAAAGACTGCGTTGGGTACGAGGCGACGCCCTTTCGCCCCAACCCCCCCTCATTGCCAAGGTGGTGTTCCCGGGCCGTCTTCGACGCGGTGTAAGTTGACGCTGGGCGAAGAATTTCCCCTCATCTTGCCTGAGAAAACAAACCACTTCTTCGGTGCACGCTCTGGGAGACTGTTTCCCGACGTATCGGGCGTCGTTCCGCTCACGCGGCTCTGAAGTGTCTCGAGTAACCCAAGAACCGTTTTCAAAGCGAGAGGATACGACACATACGTTGGGGCTTCCCCCGCTGCAGCCGAGGTACCGCTGCCAGGTGCCTCAATCGCCTCGGTGCCGACGTAAAGAATCCCAAATCATTTTGTTCCATATACGTTGATGTTCGGCAGGGATACGGCATGGGAACCCCCGTCAAACGAGGTTGGTCGACCTGCAAACAGAGGCGGCTCTTCTTCACGTTGACCACCTCCCCCTACCTCAGGTCGAATTCTTCCGGCGTCCAGATGTGTACGCCCTCGGGGTGGGGAAACCCGAATTCATGTCCTTTCATTTGATGTCACTGAAGGGATGTCTTCCTAGATGCTGCTCGTCACGGTCGTGACGTTATGCATGACGTTGGTTATCGTTTTGGCCTTGTGTCACAATTCCAGCAAATTGCCACATCGTTTGCCAGAGAGTCCTTACATGCCAACGGGCATTGTCCTTACTTCGGTCTTCTAACTAAAGGGTTCCCTTCGCCAATCTGTTGTTGACGAGCGGACTCATCACGAAGTCATGCGACATTTCTGTATAGTTCGCTGAGGTAAATTGAAGGGTAGTTTCGGGTACGCGCGCGCTCAGACAGAGGCGTGTGTACCGTTTGCCAGGGCGCGGCTCGTGTCCCAATCCTAACGTATCATTGAACCAAGCACGCGGAAATACGCGCGCAGGACCATGCAACATACAGGCAGGAAGCGCGGCAGTAACGACTAATGGGAAGGGAGTGGCTGTTGAGGGGTAGGATGTCAGACATGGCGAGAGCGCACCTAGGTTGCCTTCCTTCCACGTATCCTCGCTCCCCCCCATGTTCCCTCGTGGCTCCTAGTCCCTCGCTCTCCCCTCCCCTATGCCGCCCCTCATCATCATCATTGTCGCCGCCCTCCTCCTCCTCCTCCTCCTCTTCCTCCTCCTTCTCCCCCTCTTCCCTTCACCTACACCTTCTCCTCCTCCTCCTCCTTCTCCTCCTCCTCCTCCCCCTCCCCTTCCTCCTCTGCATCTGCGCATGCAGTTCCCCTTCCCCCCTCCCTCCACCCAGCCCTGCACTTGCTGCTACTCCTTCTCCTCCTTCTTGTCCATCCGCAAAAACTTCCAAGCAATCTCTGGCCGGCCTGTCCACTCGCGCCCCTTCGCCCGTGCGGCGCAGCCCTGGCCCTCCAACCTGGGCCCCCTGGCCTCGAGCTTGCGCGCCGCGCGAAGCGCGACCATCTTCGCGTTCTCGCGCCGCCCACTGAGGACACGCCAGGAAGGCGACGCGCGGCTATATCCTCGGGCGAACGCTGACATGGGTAAGTGTCAAATGGATCTGTCGCGTGGGCACCAGATTCACGGATCGAGGAGAGTCCCCCCCCGAAAAATATAAGGCCAATGTCGCCTGACTTCGTCACGGAACGCACCAATCACGTACAGAAACGGGACCCTTCGCCAATCCACGTTGCCTTAATCCATGTGTGTGCTTCCTCGATGCTCGCGCCCCTGAAGGTGCCGTGGTCTAACCGAGGTCCCCTGCTCAGAGCATAAGAACACCGTCTAGTCCGCAACCGAGCCCTTGTGGCACGGAGTGGAGTGTCCCCAGGTGCCTTGCTCCCTCAGCCTCTGTCCTCAATCCTGAAGATTCTTTTCGGCTCCAGACCACACATTTGAAAATCTCCTTGGGTTTGCCGCGTGCCTCCTGGGCTCATCCGCATCTTGTCGCATAACCTCTTCGGAGCCAAGACGGTCCCAAGACGGGCCAAGAGAGCCCCTAATAGGCCCCATGGTCCGAGAGGGCCCCGAGTCGCCGAAAGGCCGCTCCAAGACGTACATGATGGCCACAAGATAGCCCAAGGCCGCCAAGACACCCCAAGGGAGCTCCAAGATGCGTCTCAGGAAGACCCAAGAGGCCAAACTCGCTTATTTTCGAAAAGGTTGGCGAAGGGTTTGTAGGGTTCTGCACCGTTCCAGCTGTCGACGCTCCAAGATCTCAAGAGGCCCCCAAGACCGCCCCAAGACGGCCCATCGGGCGCCCAAGACGGCCCCAGAGGGCCCCAAGACGGTCTCAACAGGGGCCCCACAGGGGAATCAACCGAAAGTCAAAATCTTCCGACCCAAGAGGCGCCCAGGAGGCCCCCAAGAGGCCCCAAGAGGCCCCCGAGGGGTTCAAAAACTGCTCCAGGAGGCCCCAAACCAGCTCCCAAGAGGCCTCAAACTGTTTCCAGAAGTCTCCGAGAGGCCTCGACGAGATCCCAAACGAACATCCAAGAGGCTTCAGACCCACAACCCAAGCATGGTGGCGGGATGCCGCAAACCACTAGATCCGCCGCCCCTGTCGGCTCATCGCAGGGGTGCCTGGCGTGCTAGACCCTTTCGGCTTTGGTTTCGTTTCTTTTTCCCAAAGAACTGCCCCTGCGGCTTCGGCCCGTCCCGCCGGCCACCCAAGAAGATCTTCCAGAATCTTCCGGCTTGCCCGGAGCCAATTGCCAAGGGTTTTTCCTGCTCCAGACGGCTCCAAGACGGCCCAAGATGGCCTCCAAGACTGCCAACATGGCCTCCAAGACGGCTCCGATGGCCCCGAGATGCCTCCAAGATGGCTCAAGATGCCTCCAAGGCGGCCTCAGATATCTTCAAGGTGGTTCAAGACGGCCCCAGAGGCCCCCAAGAGCCCCCCAAGACGCCTCCAAGAGGTCCTCAAGGAGGGCCCGCAGAGGGCAAAATCATTTGTTTTCCTTAGGTTTTTGAAAGATGTTGGCATTTGCTTCTTTTCGGCCTTCCGAAGACCTGAAGACGGCCCAAGAGGCCCCCAAGATCTTCCCAAACTCGCTCACGAGGCCTCAAAGATGGCCCCATGATGGCCCAAGAAGCCCAATATGGCCTCCAAGACTGACCCGAAGCGCCCAAAGAGGGCCCCAAGTCGGTTCAGAGAGGCCCCCAAGACGGCTCCCGACGGCGTCAGACGGGCCAGGAACGCCATAAGACGGCCAAAGAAGCCCCCGAGAAGCCCCCAAAGGGCTCCAAGAGGCCCTCAACAGGCCCCAAGAGAGTCCAAGATAGCCACAACATGGCCTCCAAGACGGTCCCAAGATAGTCCAATCGAGCCCAAGAGTGCCTCAAGAAGCTCCGAAGAGGCTCCGAAGAGGCATTCTCCCCCTTTCCTTTTTCCCCTTTCTCTTCCTCCTCCCCTTCCTCCCCCCCGCGTTCCCCGAAACCTTTCCAAACCGACTCGGGGAACACATGGTCCGATAGCTTGGCCAAGCTCTAGCCTAGCTGGCGGACACATAGGAGCGTCCACAAGGGCAGGGGGCGGCGGTGATTCGCCGTAGGCGTCTTCGATCCGCCGCCCCCTGTTGATTCATCACAGGGGTGCCTGGCGTGCTAGATCCTTTCGGTTTTGGTTATTTTTCCGAAATAACTTCCCGTGGGGCTTCGGCCCGTCCCGCCAGCCACCCGAAATGTTGCCGAAAATTTGTCAAAATCCATCGGTCGATGCCTTTGTTGCCCCAAGATTGCCTCCAAGACGGCCAAGATGGCCTCCAAGATGCCTCCACGCCAGCCAAGATGGCCTCCAAGACGGCTAAGATGGCCCCAAGATGCACCCAAGACGGCCCAAGATGGCCTTAAGATGGTCTAAGACTGCCCAAGAGGCACCCAGGAGGCCTACAAGACGGCCCACGAGCCCTCCAAGAGGTCCCCCAGGAGGGCCCGAAGAGGCCAACATCATTGGTTTTCCTGAAGTGTTTGAAGCATTTTGGCATTTGCTTCTTTCGGCATTCCGACGGCTCAAGGCGGCTCAAGAGGCCCCCAACATCGCCCCAAGAGCGCCCAAGACCCTCTCCAAGATGGCCCCGTGACGGCCCAAGAGGCACCCACGATGCACCCATGAGGGCCCCAAGACGGCCCAAGAGGCCTCCAAGACGCCCAAGATGCATCCAAGAGGGCTGAGATGGCCCCAAGATGCCTCCAACACGGCCCAAGATGCACCCAAGACGGCCTCCAGATGGCCTAAGACGGCCCAAGAGGCCCCCAAGAGGCCTCCAAGACGGCCCAATAGGCCTCCAAGAGGTCCTCCAGGAGGGCCCGAAGAGGCCAACATCATTGGTCTCCCTGAAGTTTTTGAAGGATTTTGACAGTTGCTTCTTTTCGGCATTCCGACGGCTCAAGACGGCCCAATAGGCCCCCAAGATCGCCCACGAGGCCTCCAGGATGGCCCCAAGAAAGCCCAAGATGCCCCCAAGACGGCCCCAAGAAGGCCCAAAAGGCCCCCAAGGCGGCCAAAATGGCCTCCAAGACGGCTAAGATGGCCCCAAGATCCCCCGAAGACGACCCAAGATGCACCCAAGACGGCCTAAGATGGCCTCACGATGGCCCAAGACGGCCTAAGAGGCCCCCAAAAGGCCTCCAAGACGGCCCAATAGGCCTCCAAGAGGTCCTCCAGGAGGGCCCGAAGAGGCCAACATCATTGATTTTCCGAAGGTTTTTGAACGATTTAGGCATTTGCTTCTTCTCGGCATTCCGACGGCTCAAGAAGCCACCAAGATCGCCCAAGAAGCCTCCAAGATGGCCCAGGCAAGCCCCCGAAACGGCTTCCGACGGGGTCAGGCAAGCCAGGAACGCCCTAAGACTGCCAAAGAGGCCCCCAAGACGCCCCCAAAGGCCCTCCAAAACCCTCCAAGAGGCCACCAGAAATGCTCCCAGGAGGCCCCAAGAGTGCCCCGAGAGGCGCCCAAGAGGCCTCCTCCTCCTCCTCCTCCTCTTTTTTCCTCGTCCTCCCCCTCTCCCTCCTCTTCTTGCTCCCCCATGTGTTCCCCGAAATCTTTCCAACCCGACTCGGGGAACAACTGGCCCGATAGTTTGGCCAAGCTCTGGCCCAGCTGTCGGCCACAGAGGCGCTTCCACAAGGGCAGGGGGCGGCGGTGATTCGCCGTAGGCGTCTTCGATATACCAGCAGCATCGCCGCAGACACCTCCAGACACCCCTCGGGGCATTCACGGGCCATCGCTTGCTACTGCCAGGATGACGGTTCAACGTGTAACGCTTCCTGAACGCGGGCAGGAATGGCTCTGGGCTTGTGGAAACACTCGGGTGATGATGCCTTGCTCCTGGGATGCACCATTGAACGAGGGGGGTGAAGCCACGAATTGTAGAGCAGAGACGGGGACGCATGCTGCTGCAGTCGAGGTCACTTCCCCTGCCCTTCGCCCGCCATTGCTCCACAGTTGTAGCACTCCATGGTTGAGGTGCTGCCCCCTTCTCCGCGTGTGCTTTCACGCCTGACAGAATACAACGACTGTCTGCATGTCATGGCGACAGACCACCACCTCTAGCAAAGAATACCACCACGCTTGAAGGGGCAAACCATCACCAGGACCACCATCACCAGGAAGGGAAACCCATGACGTGGCAACGACTAATGCGAGCAACTGTCTGCGTAAAGATGGTCACACTATCTCCAACAGGCAACCGTCACCGTGGATCACGACGCAATGGAGATCGCATGTGAACTTAAGACAACGAAATGGATCGAGACACGTCACTACTAGCATATTGTTTACAGTTGACGCGTGGTCGCGTCGTGCGCACGACTGCGAATGCACACCGCACATGTAAATGTGCTAGGCCTACATAGGGATGGCCACTTATCCAGACATACCCCGCTCGCCTACAACGAGCAAAATTGTAAAGACTTGCGCGTGCATACCCTCACACACAATCCGCGCGTTCCGCAAGAGAATCTCGAGCCGGCCCTGATGACAACCTTTGTGCCAGCTGACCATTTTACGTATGCTTACGTGCACGGGCGTATGCATATCAGCATGCACGGGCATTCGATTTCGCATGCTAATGTGTGCGCAACACGACTGCACTTGCACGTGCCAGCGTACGGCAGGTTCTTGTCGTGTCGACTTCGGCGTCGGTTTAGGGGAACGAAGAATGACATAAACATAAAAACTCGGAGGTCTGCGCGGATTTCTTGGATCCGCGCTGGACCCCCCTCCCTGGCGCGCGGAGCGCGCCAGGGGCGGCGCCGGAGGCGCCGCCGGGAGGCCCCAGCGCCGATCCGAGAAATCCGCGCGGACCTCCGAATTTTTATGTTGATGTCACTTTTTCTTCCCCTATGGCTTCTGGCACCGCGGGGATCTTTCAAACTTGAACGATCGGCCGTTTCCGAAACGGCAGGTCGTTCCGCATCGACCGATTCTGGATCGACGGCGGCGCTCCACGTTGAACGCTGGCGGCGGGGTCGCCGCAGGCCGACACGACGCGAGCCCGCCGTCTTCGCGCGCACACGCAAAACTGCGCGAACACGCGTATCAACTACATCTAGATGCCATCGCCGGTGGTTCGAACAGGGGTGCGGGAGCTCCCTGGAAGCCGACCATTGGCCCTTTCCCTGCCTCCATGTTCACCTCTGCCTCCTCCCACCGGCCCACCCCATCGAGGCCCCCTCCTCCGCTCTCTATCTGTTGCCTCCCCTGATCACTTCTTTCACTTCCCCTCTCACTCGCCTCTAACCCGCCTCTCACCTCTCACCTCCCTCCTCCCTCTTCCTCGCTTACCTCCCCTTTCCACTGCTGTCCTGCTGCCTCCCCTCACTCCTCGTGGTGTGGCCGCTGCTGCTCGCTCCTTCCCGCTCCCCCCTCTCCTTCTCTTCCTCCTCCTCCTCCTCCTCCTCCTTCTCCTCCTCCTCCCTCTCCTCCTCCTTCGCACTCGACTCCTCCCACACCAACCGTCCCCCTCTCCGTGTCCCTTTCATGCTACTTCCCCCTTTCCCACGCCCGCCTGCCCCCGCCCCCTCGTCCTCCTCGTCGTCCCACTTCCACAGACCATCGAGCGCGGGTGTGATCAAGTGGATCGTCGCCGCGTCCATCGGCCCGACCCCCGTGTCCACCGGCGCAATTGGCCAAGTCTTTCTGCTGTCGAGCCCACCCACTCATTCCCACGACCTCGCGCCTGACTCTGAGGAATCACCTGTCCTTTACTGCAAAACTAGGGCGACCACCTCTTCCGCCAACCAAACCACAACGGAACACAAATGTCTTACAGCCGAGCGGTGACCGTGAGACCTGGCCCCGGGCAGGAGGGGGAGGGTCCCCGAGCCAAAAGCCACCGCGGAGACCAGACCCCGCGCGGATGGACTGCCACCAACCAAACGGACTGCCACCAACCAAACGCGCGCAAGGGGAGGACCCCCAACAAAAACCAAAGGCCACCCCAGCCGCCATGCTCCGCACGGAAGAGGGGGATCTTTTCCCAGTCAGCAGAGGAGGAGGAGGAGGAGGAGGAGGAGGAGGAGGAGGAGGAGGAGGAGGAGGAGGAGGAGGAGGAAAAGGAGGGGAGGAGGAGGAGGAGGAGGAGGAGGAGGAATGGGGAAGAGGAGGAGGAGGGGGAGGAGGAGGAGGAGGAGGAGGAGGAGGAGGGGGAGGGGCGAGCGAGCGAGCAAAAGCCAAGGGGCAGTTGGATAGAGCAGAGGGAGGGCAGTCACACCCCCGAACCCCCTCCCCTAGCGCCTGCACGATGGAGCCCGAAGGCCAGGACCATCTTGCAGGCACCAGGGCGGGGAGCGCGGAGCATGCCTACCCCAACAAGCGGCCGCGCGGGCGGCCAGGGAGCACGGGGCCTGCGGCAGGCCCGTGCTCACCTGCACGAGGCCCGCCACGGCGGGGAAGAGCTCCCACAGGGCTCCCAGCGACACGAGCGGGGAGCCCAAGTCCACGTGGTGCAGCACGTGGCCCGCGCCACAGAGGAGCACGTGGAAACCGAGCGTGTCGCAGAAATGCATCTCCGCGCACGAGCCGCACGGCAAAACACGACGAGTTCGCGTTGTGCCTGGGCATGGCCAAACCGAGCCTCGCCCTGGCTGGAAAATCGAGAACGAGTTGGTGGGGCCTGCGAGGGTCAAACACCGCATCCAGACCTCAAACCATCCAGCCACACGCCCTTGAGGGGCACTCACCCGCTGTGGGCTGGCACACGCAGTCCTGACTATTGTCGGCCTTCTCGCCGACCCGTCATACCATGTCGGGGTCCACCTCGTCATCGCTATACGACTCGTGTGGAGCACCCAACTCCAGTGCTTCAGGGTATAGTAAACCATGGTCTTTCAAAATCAAGCCAGTACCCAGGTAACGCAAGGGTTCTGTTCGGACTTTACCTTTGGGCCTGAAGTCGATCTCAGGCAGGTCTCCCAGCGGATCCCGCCAACCTTTTGACTTGCACATCAGGGCTCGAACTCTGACCGAAGGTCTGTGAGCGTCCTCAAGCGAAATATCCTTGTGCAGCGACTGAGGATGTCTGAGGTTACTGAGGTGCCTCGCGTTCTCCACAATCCTGCCACCCCCCCCTTCTTTGCCGCAGCAAACACTGTCTAGTCCCCGATGGTTGAGGCTGCCTGTGTCCGAGCACTTGCAACAGCTGGTGCAGAAGATCAACGACCGGTCGTGACCAACCACGGGGTATTCCAGCAGCGCATGCTTCTGCACCAACCATGGCCGCGGCAAGAGAGGCTCTTTCACCGTCGCCCTCTGTTGAGGAGTGGCCAGATCGTCCTCCTGCGGCTCGGGGAAAATATAGTCTTTAAAATCATCTCCCTGCTCGTGAAACCACACCTCGAACTGTGCAGTGTAGCCAAGCAACATCCTGTGAAGGCGCATGGCGCCCCGAACGAAGCGCTCCTGAACCTCCGATGCTCGATGGAAGGAGGCCCCAGCCTTGGCCAACTCGTCGGCCCCCATGTTGCCTGCTCGATCAAACTGGCTGATGACTCCTTCCCTGACGTCCGACATACTCGCGTGCGCCTTGACGTGCAAAACGGGCGCGCGGCAGAAATCATCGTTCATCTTCATGCGCCTCCACAGGTGTGCTCTCGGATTGCCTGGCCCACTTGCTGCCTCGAGTCTGTGGCAACATCCAACCGATCCTTTGCAATCTGACATGACTTGACATGAGCCCATGACCAGCTGTCTGGCCTTCATGATCGCATAGTCCTCGCTGTTTCGGGCCACTTGACTTGGCCCTTCACACCGTGGGACGGAGCCGTGATATCGTGCAACTCTGCGCCGCTCAACATCGTAGACCGTGACGGCCCACCCCGCTGACCGCAACTCAGGCACACGGGTCGAGAAGGCGCTGCCGTCCACAAACACAACTCGGCCATCTACACATGTGATCCCACGCCGATCCACATCAATCAGATCATGTTGACTGGAGCGGCCTGCACCGTGGAATACTTGCCCTGGGTGTAGAAAAAGTCTCCGCGCGAATCGATCCTGCCTATCTTCAGGTTCACTGAGCATTCTGCGTGCTGCCCTTTGAACCTCCAGGGGGGTGAGCAGCCGTCTCTGAGCCGCAAACGCGCCACACACGAATCACCGATGGAATAGCGTGCCAGGCGCCGACTGGCACCTTGTGCATAGTGACGAGTGTCCAGTGAAGGCACGGGCAATCCTGACCTGCGTCCAGTGGCCGCCCGTAATCACACCTCGAAGTGATCGACGCTGATAAGGCGAGAGTCGCTTGCCATGAAGCGCCTCCGATACCGGCTGCCAAGAGATTGGGCCCGTCCTGGTTGAGCCCGCTCCTTGCATAGCCGCAAGAGCGTCACGGTCCATCTGCCTCCGCACTCCCAGCTTCACAATATGAGCTATCCAGCTACTTGAGATCCCACGAGAAACCTTCATCATCAAGGAGAGTGAGCGGGTCCAACAGCTTCCAACATATTCGGTACAGACTGAGCATCAGCGCCGCGATGGGGTTCTTACATTTCAACCAGGCCTGCGGATCCTCCAACAGCGGGAGAGCTGAAACCATCAGCGCCGAGACCAGCGATGAAGTCAACGCCCCAGTGGACATATCACCATGTACGTGTGCATGGCATCAGACGTAGCAATGACAAGGGGATCGTTGTGCCAACCGTTCTCTGCACACATAAGAGAGAGGCCCACTGACGAACCTGGCTTGAACCGCGCACCCGCGTTAAGGAAAGACATCCTGAGCTGCTGGATCCTGCTATTGGGCACCCCTGCGATGGAGCATCCCCACAGCGCCTTTGAGAGGACCCCAGAGCGGTTTCCCCAAGGCCCCTATGATATTGACCCCGTCCTGGAAACGGAACTTCAGCAGGCCATAGATCGGCAACAGCGTCCTCGATCAGGCTGAAAGTCTCCGGGTCACTGCATAGAAACCCCATCTTGCCCGACGAAAGCGGCAGCCCTCGGGCCTGGAGAAGGCCCACCGTCTCCTTGAAAGCGAAACTCAGCTCCCTGGCCACCGT